AGGAATGTCTGAAACAAAGGGATGTCTCTCCCTAGGTGCTCCGGCAAATTGGACACACGTATTTTAAAACGGTTAACAGCAACTGAAATCCTAAGTCTGACTAGCAGCATCGAGTTCTTTTATTACTTCACTTACCTAAAAGAGCAGCAAAAATAGGAAAGCGATTTGGATTCAGGTCCAGTTGCTTGGCAACTTCATGCATTAGGTATTGGCTTGTTGTGAGACTTTTCCCATTACGGCTCAGTTTTAGGGCATGGGCACTGAAATAGTAAGGGATGTTGCACAATGCATAATCGGAGTCATATGCAACCAAACCATGGAAACCTTTTTCTCTGCAGAAAGCAATTACTTCTTGATGATGATCCTCAATGCTCTGTGCAACCTAGAGTGGAAGACAGAGTAATTAGCGACAGTGTTAAATGGCAGTAGTGATTTATCACATCTGTTACGATATATTGTGTCTTTCAGAAACTACAGGCGTGCATTTGAAACACAGTGTATTTAAAGTCGTTAAAAATATCCAATGACACAGCACGGGCAGACAGGATGTAAGGAGCACTCAGAAACACAATACAAAGGTCTAGAAGCCTACAGGCCAAAGTGGCAGCGTCCCGCTCACTCCTCTGAAGTAACTGTTTATTAACAGCAACGCTCAAACTCTAAACGTATTACCATACCAACGTCTGTATTAACTCATGGGAAAAATCTTAAGGCTGTGGATACTTAAGCAGCTCGGGAAGCCAAGATGCCCCCTTAAAAAGCAATCACATCATCACTTGGAAAGTTTTGCAGCCCTCCCTGTTTTAAAAGGAACAGCCACAACCCCAGCTGAACAGAGGTAACTTTCTCGACCTTTCAAATGACTACCTTGCTGTCTTCAGACAATTTTTTCCCTCTTTCCACTTTCAGCCTATTCATTCGCGCACAGCTGTCTCCGATGGTGCAAACTGCTTCAAGTTTATAGCCCAAACTTCACCTCTCAACTCACGTTGCCTAGCAAAGCACATATTTTAGGCTATGGCAATCAGATGACTAGAACAGACATGTTGTGCAGGGGAGACATGGGCCAATTCCTACCGTCGGAAATATAACAGCAACCCTTTCTTATCAAGAAGATTATGCTAAAACAAAAAACCCCACGATGACAGGTTAGTACCTACAGTCCTGCAATTCTACACCATCAGGAACCGTTACAGCTACGGTTTGCATACAAGCACACAAAAATAAAGCGAGCTGAGTGCTTCTGATGCCCAACGCTTTTACCATCTACATCCCTAACAAACATTCAGTGATTCAGAAAACGCCACAGAGGTCGGGTGTTGGCATAACCTACCCTCAGCAAGCATTCAATTCTAACAACAACGTAGATACCAAGCTATCCCAAAATAGCCTAGTGCAAAACTCTTAGCTCCAGTCTCCACAGTACGCATGAATAACTACAGCGGTAGTGCCAGTGATGCTATTTATTTCCTCTGCAGCCGATGAGCGAGGGTCCTACACCCCTACGGCCCGCTCCAACAGTCACCCACCTCACAGCAAAGAGTTTCTGTTCAACAGCAAGTTTAGAGCAACTCTTCCTTTTCTACTCATGCCTTACACTTTCTGAACCTGAGACTGAATTATGGTCTTCCAGTGAGGTATGTAAAATTTTGCGTCTTCCCGTGTAGCTTCACAAGATGTTCCCTTTCAAGCAAAATCCTGAGCAGTTGAACAGCCAGGACCTCACTCTCTGAGCTATTCCTAAGATCAAAAACCAGCTCACTAAAGTCTCTCTACTGCTAACTCTACCCCCTTATAGTCTTAACAAAATGTTATGGACTGCATCAGAGCGGACTGCATTTGAAATTTATTTTTGTTTGTGAGAAAAACGAGCGTATTCATTTT